GCGGCGCCGCGGCCACGACAGCGGCGACCGCCACCACCACAAGGGCCGAGCGCGGTGACAACATCTTTTGAAAAAAAAAAAAAAAAAGCAAAAAGGAGTGAGGGAGGCATGATTTGTCTGACAACCGCGTTGCCCGACATCTGAATTATCTGACAACCGGCATTTCGTCTGACAACACGACACATCAAGCACAAGCGTACACGGGTGTGTGGCAAAAAGTCCTCAACTGTTGGGGCCGATGGCGCCACGACGCGGAAGAAGAGCCGGGGTGGGGGCCGGTGGTAGAGGAAGGACAGGGAGAGGATGCGTGTATCAAAGTTTATGTGTGAGCAGTTGACTGAGAGCAAAGGAGACTTGAGATAAGGAGCGAAGTGGCTCGATTGCTGAATTCGCGTAGGATCAGTTGTTGCCATGATGAGTAAAGTGCGGCGCGCACTCGTTGAGTATTGCATCTTTTCGCCGGGAGCCAGATGCTCCCCCGCTGCCACAGCCTGCGTGTGCTCCATGTCTGCCCGCCAAACCGAGGCTTCCTGGCCGCCAACTCCCGTACCTCAATCCGGTCCTTTCGGTCCCAAAGTCTGGAGGGACTGGCCTGCACACCCACTGCGATGGCGCGCACAACGCCCACACGTGTGTGTGCTCTCTCTCTCTCTCTCTCTCTCTCTCTCTCTCTGTCTCTCTCTGTGTCTCTGTGTCTCTCTCTCTCTCTCTCTCTCTCTCTCTCTCTCTCTCTCTCTCTCTCTCTCTCTCTCTCTCTCTCTCTCTCTCTACTGAATTTGTGACACACACACACAATGTCAGAAAGAGCGAGAGAGAGAGAGAGGTGACAGAGGGGGTGACTCGGTGCAGAGAGACGCCTTTGGCTGGAAGATCAACTTGACTAAACTTCAACGTAAAATCAGAGAGAGTGTCTTCCGGGTGGGATAAATCAGAGAAAGAGTGGGGCATAACATCAAGGGTTCCGCCCCCTTACCGAGGATGGTCTTTTGTTCTCCAGCTTCAATCCTCTGCGGCTGTGCGGGGAAACCTGGTAATCTCTTCAACATCTCCTATCCCCTCAAATGTCTCTGATTTTAGCTTGGATGGGTCACTCTGTCCCGACGTGATCCGGTCTCCATCTCTAAATTTACACAGAGTTTAGCATATCTCTCTATCATTACCTCGTAGCTCACCCACCACCTCTACCCGTGCCGTGGTTGTTGTGGACACACGCGCAGCTCTGCCATTTGGCGGCAGCCCGTCGGTCGATGGCCCTGGACTTGACTGCCCTCCATTGAATTGTGCGCACACTGATTCGGTTGCCCTTGTCATCAAACGCATTACCGTTACCGTCTTTCCTGGTCCTGAGCCCAAGGTTGAAAGATCATCAGTGAGGCGCCTTCCCCCCTTGCTGCCCGTTGCAATCGGCTGGCAGCCAGCACACACTATACGGCGGCGGCGGCGGCGGTTGTGAATCGCTTGGCACCAACTGTACTGTACTCCTTTGATACTTGGCAAGTATCAGGCTGACGCCTACCACTCGAGTTGAGATTGAGCATAGGCCTGGTCCTCTCCACCGCTCGCCATGGCGCTGCAGGAAGAAGATATTGAGCACCTGATCCGGGAAGTGCCCGCCTACATGCCCCAGATCACCAAGGCCCGCGCTCGCGAGGTATTGGCCAACGAAAACTCGGGCACCTACCTCCTCCGCTTCTCGGCCAACTCCCAAGCCATCGTGCTGACCATGACCATTGGCGGCAAGAATCGCCACTTTGTCCTCGAAGAAGACGACAACCGCAACTACACGTTTGACTTTGAGCACAGCGAGCCCACCATCCAGCAGCTGCTCAACTACGTCGAGGAGAACGGTTTTCTAGACGAGCAAGGCGTGCACGTCCGCCCGTCTCGGGCCTCTCCCGTGGCCGTGGAGCAGCATCTCTTTCGCCAGCCCTGGTACTTTGATGACATTGATCGCGATACCGCCGACACCGTCCTCTCCAGCAAGCCCATTGGCACCTTCTTGATCCGCACCAACCGCCATGGCAATCTCACCCTCAGCTCCCATGCCAAGCAGCGCGTTCTCCACATTCCCCTCAACGTTGAGCGTGGTGGGAAGTACTACGTCGGGGACATGGAATCCTGTCCCTCCGTCCAGGAAATGGTCTATGCCCTAGCCAACAAATACAAGAAGATTGAAACCGACAAGTATGGTCAAGTCGAAGCTTCAAAGCCCCTCGGTACGTGACATACAGGCGACTGGCCCTCGCAACCCCTATGTTTCGCTTCAATAGCGGCGTGTCCACCTTTGCTGATTCACCCTTCTCAGAACTGGGGCCCGAGCCCGCCGCGTCGCCCTCATTCTCATTCCTTTCCCCTGTTCTGTCTCGCTCTTTGGGTCAATTTAGACGACACGGGCGCGGCCGCTGTGGCTCTTGAAGTAGCACAACGAGCTGCCAACCGAGAACAAGCCGGCTTCAAGCCTAATCGTGGCCTCGACTTTGAGGAGCAGCCCGATGACAACCTGCTGCATCGCAAAGAATACGTGAGTGGCCCGTTCCGACTGGCACTCCTGTCTCCCACCTTTGTTCAGTTCTGCTTGCCATTTGCCTGCATCAACCCGTCTCTCATCGTCGGGCTTCCTTGCTGTGCGCGTGCCTGCACCTTTGGTCTTGGCCCAGCGCGATGTCCCATGCTTTGGCTGCTACATCTCGCTCGATGTGGGCGTGATTGGCTCCGTCTTGATCCATTACGTGACCGTGATTGCCGAGATCTTGCTGCTCTACACTTCCCGCGAGGACACCACCATCCTTTGCCTTGTGGCTGCGCTCATTGGCGTTCGTGTGTGGAGCTTTGTTGTGATCGACTATCTGACCCGCGTCGATGCCCGTTGGCTCTACGGCCTCCTTGATCTGCGCCTCGTCCAGCTGGTCGTCTTTTACCTTTCCGACCCTTACAACCGCAAGAATCACGTGCGCAGTCGCATCAACTTTTTGCGTCTTTGGCAGGCAGCGCTTGAAGCCTCGCCCATTCTTATGGTGGCCACCTACCTCAACCTGCGCCGTGTGGCCAGCGATGATCTCTTTGATCTCTTTGAAGTGGTGGCCCTTGCCGCCATCGCAGCTGGCATGTTCATTGCTTTTACTGGTTCATTCTTGCAAGACTACCTCACGACCGAAAGCCAGTGGTGGAAGTTCATCTTCCTTCCTGTTTATGCCATCTCTGCCACGGCCAGTCGGGCCCTGATCGGGGCTGCCGCCTTCATGGCCTTTCGCTGGTATATTTTAGTCGGTGTTGCCGGTGGTCTCGCCATCCTGGAAATCGTCACCATTGCGCTGCTCACTCCAACCATTGAGGGTTCGAGCACTTCGGTCAAGCTCTCTGTGCTTCGGCGTGCTTTGTTTGGCCTGCTGACGCCCATGGCCACGACGCGCTCGCGCATCGAACGGTTGCGCCACGGGCTGATCCAGCTGACCACGGCCGCTGTGCTGCTGGGTCTGATGGTGGGCGATGACCGCCTGGGCGATGATCAGTCCACCCTCTACATGATCGTGTTTTACGGCGGCGTTGGGCTGCTGGCTCTTCAGTTGCTCACCTTCTTGGCCTTTGTGGTTTTTATTCCCAGCAGCTATTTGGGTACCATCATGCTCTACGAGAAGGTGCCCGTCATTAAAGTTGACGTTTAGACATTTCCCTTTGGGTACCCTTGATTAGATTTTTTCTTCAGTGTTTTTGTGAGCGCGCACGTCCTGCTTTTTGTTTTTCATTCGTGCGCTGCACCGTCCTTGTCTGGCTTGGTGGCGTAGCCTTTTGGGTTTCACTGGCCGTGGGGTGCTATCGGGTGACGGTGACCCCGGTTCCAGCGCTGAGCCTTTTGGTCTTCTCCCTCGAGGAGGAAGACTTTTGCTTGGTTTTTACGTGCTCTCCGGGCTCGTGTCCGAGAGGTTAAGTGGCCTCCCATCCTGTCATGCTATTCCGTTTTTGAGATAATCGATTATCATAAACGTGCTTTTGCGAGCTGGGCCCAAGACCTGGAAAGGGAAAAGGGCTGGTATCTAGCTAGTTGATGGTTCAGTCGAACTTGGCGGCGGAGGTTGTTGCTGCTTCTTTTTGGGATGCGGCGGCATCGAGTCCAAGAAGCCAGACCGACCAGGACCTGCGGGACGAGTCGTCGCCAGCTCGTGGCTGCGGTTGTCAATGGGTAGTCGGCGTTGGTGCCCACACGATAGGCAGTCAATCCGAAGCTTACCACCTGCAAGAACATGTGATCCATTTCACGTGAGATCGCACGAGGGAGAAAGGCCACATGGCCACCCGAAAAAGAAGAACGTGGGTCGTTCGTTGGCTCAGATACAGCAACAATGAGACGCACTACGGATGGCTTGTTTGGAAGTGATACCCGGAACGAGTACAACCCAACATTGCTGGCAGATTTGACGCTTTAGCGTTGGGTCCCTATACGATGGCAACCAATCATGCCGAAGCGCTGTTCAGCAACAACAAGCCAAAGTTTGCCCAGACGTCACCAGAGATCAGCCGAAACGCAACGTACAGACGGGCCACAAGGCGCCGCGCAATAGCACGCATGCATATAACGTAGTGCCGACTGAGCTCAACTTGTAGAGGCGCATTTTCGGTCAACACGGAACGAGCCGCCTGCGGGAGGAGGTCGCACGCAACAGTGATAAGCCAGCCGGGCCAGGACCAGCCCTAGCATCAAGTCATTGATGGTCACCACGTGTATCAGCCCCACTCACCTGAAAGAGAAAACTCATGCGCTCATAAGCCTCCCGATCCTTGAGCGGCGGGCGCTTGCTCTTGTCCTTATCCTTGGGCATGTCGGCGATCAAGCTACCCCTGCCATCACGTCGCCATCCTCGTTCCGCCTCCCTGCTTTTGGACTTGAGAGAGAGAGAGAGAAATTATGGTCGTGTGCGCTGGTAAAGTAATTTCAACTACCCCCCTCAACTTTGTGTGTGTGTGTGTGTGTGTGTGTGTGTGTGTGTGTGTGTGTGTGTGTGTGTGTGTGTGTGTGTGTGTGTGTGTGTGTGTGTGTGTGTGTGTGTGTGTGTGTGTGTGTGTGTGTGTGTGTGTGTGTGTGTGTGTGTTTGTTGCCTTTGCTTCTTTCGTTTGAGTGCTCTGGCACAGGCCTCGTTGGACAGTCGCTGCTTCGTTTGACCTGAGCTACAGACAGTGACTGGAACAGACCCAGATCTGGCAAAGGGAACCGGGGCCTTTCAACGCCATGAATGACCCTTCAGACGTTCGTTTCCCTCAACGTTCCATTATTTTCCAAGTTGAAAACACGATTTTTATATGGAATGGGATCGACGGGGCAGTCGAGCCTGAGAGTGGCGACCAAAAAGTCGCACAACAGGTATTGGCAAGATCGTATGGCTAGTGCACCCAAAAACACCTCGCATGCCCCGCCGTCTTGAAAGGGATTCACATGTAAGTTATTGAATTGCACCTCATACACACTCAGGTGGCTGCATCGCAAGCTGCTTGAGACGAGGGGGAGATCGGCGGGAGGGGGCAGAGTTCTATAAGGTGGTGAAAGTAAATGGCTGGGGTTCACTGGGAAACCACCTATGCATGAGTTTGGGTAAATGCCACTGCTAGTGCCCGCTGCTGATTCAGTTTAGCAGTCGGGACAATAGCGGGCAGTGTGAATGTTCCAGACGAAACAGGTGACGGCAAAGCCAAGTGTCAAGACGGTGCTGGCCAACGTGGCCAAGCTGAGGGTCCATTCCCAGAACCGGTAGACCTTGACCTCGCGACGTGCTGTGACCTGATTACAGAGGTGGACCACATTGGGCGGGAGCCAAGTGAGAAAGGCTGGATCAAAGCAAGCCGTGGCGAGCTGAGCAAGCGGGTGGGACTGACTTCAAAGAACCAGGCTGGAGCGACGCCACTCAGATCAGCCGAAGCGGCTGCCGTGTCGTCGTCGTCACTGTCGTCCTCATCATGATCGCTGTTTTGAATGGTCTGATAGCCACGACTGGAAGGTGAACTCCAGCGCTTGTATGTTTGTACCCCAAGGGAGACCAAAAGTGCCAGGGTACCCAGACTTAAGCCACCAATCGTTTGGTAAAGGTTTGCCTTGTCCTTCTGCACACCAAAACGCGTGCATGCGCATGCGATGAGAGCACCGAAAAGGATTAAAAAAGGCGCCCTCCAAGGAACCGAGAAGGTTGATATTGCTGGGTCAGTTGCATTGCAACAATCGCTCTTGCCTGCTTGATGGTGGCCGTGAAAATGGTTGCAGCGATGAAAATGCAGGCAAGAATGCCAGATAGAATTTCAAACCAAAGCGATGTACGCTTGGTCAGGCTCTGCGGGCGGTCGATGAACGATGAGCAGGTTTCCTCAAGTCAGACCCAGATCCCCCTGGCCAAATCAAACACAGTCAACGTCAAAGCGTGTCAAGAATTTGGGCAAAGGAAAACCGACCGTGCGCTCAGGAAACCGCGAGAGGCCAACAATCAGGCACATCCAAAGCCAGGCACCAAAGAGAAACTCGCTGAGTGGGCCGCCCAGCTGAAACGCCTGTGGGTCGTAGGAATATGTCATGTGGCAAGGTGAAGGGTAGAAAATGTGAGAGTTTTGTGACCCAGGATGTAGACCTCAGATTCACGCACCCATTCTTGTGAAAAGGGGGGATCAGCACATGTCAAGGGTTGCCACTCGTGCGAGGTCCATTCGCGATGACTCAGATGATCCAGACTGTAGAGCGCCGGCATGACGGCACCACACAGGGCAATCTAGAGCGGTGTTCAATACAGACTGAGGGCATCACGAAGATAAAAAAAAGCTGCTCATGTCAATAGTCATTTGGAAGCACAAACGCACGTGCCAGCTGTACCCTGCATGATGCAGAATGTGGCCGGCTGGCAGAGTCCACAGGAGGCCGCGAATGCCCATGCCTATAGAATAAACCAAAGTTCAATCAAGAAACAAGTTTTTTTTTTTTAAAAATGGAACAGGCTGCGAGGCTAGCAAGAAGTGGGCATGCTTACCGGCGTAGCAGCGCACCCAGCGTCGAAACTTGCTCCAGTTCTCTTCTTCACGTCCCAGGAGCCAGTCCATGAAGCTATAGTCAAATGAAAAAGCAGGCCGTAGCCCCCCAAAAAATTGAAGAGGGATCGAAAGGTAAGCATTAAAGCGTCAATGAAAAGGAGATCGAACTGACGGCACGAGTCATGGATGTGCGCGCATGCGAATCTCCTCCTTCCGAGGAAACAAAAAACAAAAATAAAAAAATAAAAAGAAGAAGAGCCACTTACCCAGTTCGGGCTGTGACGTCGGGGTGTGCACCCATGCCCATGTAGGTGCCCCACCCCACAAAGATGGTGACATACATGGCAGCTGTTACTACGAGGGCCAGTCCAGGCCTGGTGTTGCAAGATTGAGCCTGACGGTGGGCGCTGGCTGGGTCACGAAGATAACAAGGAAGCCGGGACAAACCGTTGACATGTGTAGTACACCACGGCGCCAGTGGGCAGGGCCATGACGGCACGTGTATATAGGTGCTGAAGCCAGTAGTCTGTGCACCAGTTGTCTGCGCACGAACGGCCTGTTCCCGAATAACCAATGAGAGACAAACCGACGACGAGAGCCGACCATATCTGGAGATGAGGCAGCGAAGCGATCGCGCACCGGCAAAGGCCGCTGGGGTCAGCATGCCCGCATTGGATCCGCGCATATGATTAAAAACACCTCCACAGACACTGAGCGCCAGGCCAAAGAGGATCGCCGCCAACACGCCGGCGATGCCGCGAGTCCCCGACGCGCCGATCGCCATCCTGGTCAGTTGCGCAATCAACTGGTTGTAAAGTAAAATACTTTCTTCCTCCTTTCGGACTCGTCGTGACAGACACACACACACGAGGAAAAAACAGACACGTCACCGTACGTCACACACAAAGGAAACTGCTAAACTGAATTGCCATTGTTAACGCCACACGTGCAACAGCCTTACTGAACCAAACGGCTTTTTGTAACTGTAACTGTCTCTCCCTCTCTCACGTGCGAAGACAAGTCTCTGAAAATGTGAACGATCAGATCAAGGTCTCTGCTTTTGGCATGTCATGAACGTTACACACTTTAAGACTGATTAACCACCCTCTGCCGGCATGACCGATTGCCCCTTTCCCTCTAACTTTTATTCACACTTTTTGCTTGTAACGTACCACTGCTCATTTTTCGCCTGTCAGCGCGCGCACCCCTGGCGACCCTGGCTGCCATTGGCTCGAGAAACGTCAGCTCGCAACTCCCCGTGGCTGCCACACACGCCCCCAGAAAGCTTGGTCTTGTTCACCCCTCTTACCAGGGGCTCAGGTACGATCGCGCACGAAATGCATTTGTTCACTTCTGGGGCTGCTGCATTTAAAAACTTGAGAGGCAACAGCCAACACCTCATGCCAAGGTGCCGAATCTTTGTAGACTGAAAACATGGGGGCGCCCGACTTTTCCCTTTTAACCATGAAGGTCTTCAAAAACCAGGGCCCGCCTCCTGCCACCCACGTGCCCGCCCTTGTTCAGGCCCTCGCGGAGCTCTCCATTGCCGTCACGCACGACCAGCGCTCACCGGCTTACATCCGTGAGCTCATCAGAAATACATATCGCGTCGAAGTGGACGTCGCTCCATTAGAGCATTTTCTGAAGCACAACGATCAAGACATCACTCGTCTACTCGAACCCTTCGACGGCGTCTCTGATGACGAGGACCACGCCTTGAATGCGCCCCGCACATTTGCTCGCCGTGAACCGCTGCCCGAGCCTGCCGACTTTGAGCGCCTGGTGAAATGGCAGTGGGAAGCCCAGGGTCGGCCCACGGGATCTGTTGCTCAGCAGCTCTATCAGGCCATCTGCGTCCTTCTCCGGCACCGTCCAGAACACGAGCGTCGCTTCGATATTCTCAAGCGAGACATCGAGCAACACCATAATGTCATCGTCTCCCTGGCCAAGCTAAAGCTCTTTGTGCGTCATGGCCTGAATGACATTGAAAAGCTCGGCTTGAAGCTCGACTTGAGGCAAATGTATAGGACGGCCGATGATGCCCAGATCGCTGCGGTGGATGAAGCCCCCGATTTTAAGTGGCTCCGTGCCGACCAATACAAGGAGCTGGGCCTGCCCGGTCGTAAAGCCGCTGGGCCCTTGATCAAGGCCTTTGCCGCACATCTCATGAGCCTGCCACTCGAGTCCCGGACGGTAACGGCCCTAATTGCCGAGGTTAACAGCAAGACCAAGGTCGTCATGGACTTTCGTGCCGTGTCCGACTTTGTAGCCCTGTATCTTGAGCCGATTAACAAGCTGATGGACTATCATGAGCCTCTGGATATGTCCATCTTTGCTCCCCAGCGCACCTACAACCCGCGGAGCGTGCCACGCAATCGCGGCGAAAAGCCGGTGTGGATTGTCCTCGACCCTTCCATTGGTCTGGCCCCAGGTGACGAGGTCCCAACCTATGTCGAAAAGCTTGACGACACCCCTCGCGTGTTGAAGCGTGTCAGCGTTGAGTTTGACTTGAAGAAGCAACTCGGTGATGTGGATGGCCTTGAGGTGCCTTTGCGATGCCATCCCGATTGCCGTTTCCCCATTCCTCTGCAGCGTGAGGCCGCAACTCCTGTTCCTTTTGTAGTTGCATCCGATCTGAAGCATGATCATGCAACGCCCTACGCCCTGATCCTGACCTTTCAGTTTGACAAGGGGGTGCGCAGCCGCGTCACTACCATCCTATCTCTTCTGGACCCGGACTTGGCTCAAATGCGCCGCGAGCGCATTCCCTATCAGCCCCCGGATCGGCCTATTCATAAGGAATATGCTCACAAAACCTCGGGTACTCGCATGATCAGCGGTTAGTTTTTTTACCCGATTTCTCTCTTTCCTCCCTTTATTCTCTCTCTCTCTTTCTCCCTCGCTTTTGGCTCTTGCTCTCCCTCTCTCGCTTCGTCTTGAGCAAGCCAACAGAAACGTCATCATGCTTTGTTGATAACTGGCTTGGCCTCACTCTTGGAATTTGTCACAGGTCATGAAATGCCCAAACCTAAGTTGGATGATCACCCTCTGCAAACTCCCGATGATTACACGCGGTCGATTTTAAGCCGACCCGCCAATGTCAATGCCATGGACCTGAAAGATTATGTGGCACGGTTCCACGGGTTACTGTACTTGGAGGAGATCAAGTCTGCGCTGCACATGCAACGCTACAACCAGCGCGACGTGCTCCTCACCCTTGAAGAGCAGTATCTTCGTCTCGAGATTCCCGGCCTCAGCGAAAAGCGGCCCTCCCTGCAGCCCAACGATTGCATCTCTCTCATTGCAGACGAGATAGAACACAAGGGCTACATCCACGTTATGGAGGCAGATGCCGTTCAACTGTGCGTGCACAACATCTGCTTGAACCAGTGGAATCCCAACAAAAAATATGTGGTCAAGTTTAACCTCAGCCGATTGCCCTTTATGCGCAAGCACACGGCCCTCGACCTGCTCCATGAGTGCCCCGCGGCCGTGCAACTTCTCTTGCCCAAGTATTTTCCGGCCAGCGCGGCCTATATGCGCCAGGCCGACGGTGGCGATGTCCACTTTATTGAGGAGCGAGTCAAAAGCATTCACTTTCGCAACGAGCGCCTGAACCCAGAACAACGCCTGGCTATTGCCTCCATTGTAGCGCGCACTGAAAAGAGTGCCGAGCAGCTGCCTCCCTTTTGCATTTTCGGACCACCGGGCACAGGAAAGACAACCACTTTACTTGAAGCAATCCTACAAGTGGTGCGTGTTGATTAGGCTTTGTGTGTGTATGTGTGTGTCTGTGTCTGTGTCTGTGCCTGTGCCTGTGTCTGTGTCTGTGTCTGCGTCTGCGTCTGCGTCTGCGTCTGTGTCTGTGTCTGTGTCTGTGTCTGTGTTTAATTTTGACTTGGGCACGCAACTGCTGGCTCTCTGTGGTTGGGAGTTCTATCCCAACCTTGTGTTGCCCGCCTTTTATTTGTCTCACTGCCTGTCGTTGGGGGATATGATTTGCAGTTGGCCGTGAAGAAGACACCCAAAGTCCTGGTGTGCACCTCTTCTAACGCTGCTGCTGACCTGATCTCACGTCGCCTGGGACCAGCTTGCAAGACCAACGGGTGGACCCTATTTCGTGCCAATGCGGTTCGACGCACCCTTGACACGGTGGAGCCCGAGGTCCGCGAGTATGGCATTTGGAACGCAGATCGTAGCATGCACGGCATCCGCTGCCTACATGACGTGCAAGTGGTTGTCTGCACGGCAAGCATGGCTCCTGTCGTCATGCACGAGGAACTTAGGTTTGGCTCTCCTTCACATCTCTTCATTGATGAGGCTGGCTTTATGGACGAGGCAGAGCTCGTGATGACCGTCACTGCGGCATACCATGAGAAGCTGGATTTGGTTTTGTGTGGTGATCCTCGTCAACTGGGCCCTGTGGTGACCTCAGACTTGGCCTTGCAAGGCGGGCTCAACATTTCGACCATGGAGCGTCTCATGGAGCGGCCACCATACTTGCGCACGGACAGCAGCTCTAAACACAGCCCCTGGTTTCTTGTCAAGCTGATCCGCAACTACCGCTCGCATCCCCACATTCTGCATGTGTACAACGAGCTGTTTTATGACGGTGAGCTCGTGCCTGAGCGCCCCTTGGCCGACTTGGACATGGCCGAATGGAAGCACCTCCCCAATCCAGGATTCCCGATCATATTTCATGGCGTCGTGGGCACACACTTGCGCGATAATCGCTCTCCTTCCTGGTACAACTTGGAAGAAATCAACTGCATTCGCGACCACGTCGTTGAGCTGCGCGCCTCTGGGCGCCGGGTTCGCTACTCAGACATGGCCATCGTCACCCCATATCATCAGCAAGCGGAGCGCATCCGCTTTGCACTGCGTCAATCATCTCGCCTCGCTGAAGATCCCGATGGTTCCACTGTTAACGATATAATGATTGGCACGGCCGAGAAGCTACAGGGCAACGAGCGACGCATTGTGCTTGTTTCAACCGTACGCTCGCTGAAAACCATCGATTCACGCACGCTCTTGCAGACCTTGCGCGCTGATATGGTACGTCAAACTCTACAACCGCACATGGGCTCTTTGCTTTGGAGATGCTCACGGCTTGTTTCGTTCACTCTTGTTCCACGCACTACACAGCGCCATCACCTCGGGTTTGTTGGAGAAAAGAGCCGATTCAATGTGGCCGTTTCGCGAGCGCGCGAGCTGCTCATTGTGGTGGGCAATCCACGCGTGTTGTGGGTGGACGAGCGCTGGCGTTTCCTCATTTCATACGCGCATCAACACAACGGTTACATTGGTTGCAAGTACGTTTTGCTGCGATTTTAACATTGTCGGCACTGGCGCCGGTGCCCACGCTACGCCGCGGATGTGTGGCGCACACACACTTGAAGATGACGACTCACACGCAGATCTGCCGCGTTTGTAGGTTTAACGTGCACGAGGAAGGGTTGAGCGAGCTGGCCCGGTTGGAGCAAAGCTTGGCTGCCGACCTTTTTGAAGATGATTCAAGCGTCACCAGCGACTAGTTACTCGTGCTGCTCTTTGTCAACTTGTTTTTGACTGTAAATGTCCATGTCCTTGTTCTTGTTGCTCGTCCCCTATTCTTCTGGCCGTCGCTGTTTCCGCGCTTTTCTCGTTGCTTCTGATTTTGTTCTTAGTATCGTCGTTGTTGACCCTTCAAGTGTTTGAGCTCGCCCTCAGGACACGTGCTCCTCCCCCTGCAACAACGATATGAAGAACGATCTCAAACTCAATAGAGCCCCTAGCCGTCCAAGATTTCCTCTCCTCCCTCGTCACAACAAACACACAACTCTCTCAATCCTTTTTTTTTTTTATTTTCTTTCGATTTTATTTCTTTTTTCGTTCTTCTTGTTCTTGTTCTTTCTAGTGTCGAGTGCTCGCTTGCTCGAGTTGGACGCTCGCTCTGGTCTGATTTGTGCTGCTGTGCGCTGCAAGCGAGTGCTGCTGTGCGCTGCGAGCGAGTGATCTGATTCTTCGAGTTGAGGGATATTTGGCGGGCTGCTTTGCGGTAGATTTACCGTTCAGAATGAGTCGGCAAAGCTCTTTCCCGGCGCCTTCGTACGTATTTGATCCGACCAGAAGCGTGCCGCGGAGCAGCTTGCTTTCTTCTTCTTGCCTGCCAACGACTTGACTCATCTGTCTCTGACTCGATCTCATGTTGACTGCATGCACATGTCCATTATGGCAGCGCTTATGCCGAGCTTGGGGCGCACAGCATCGTGAGTTTGCGGGCCAACATTGCTGCCTTCTCTTGGATGTCTTTTTTTTTTTTTTTTCATTTGGCAGACCATCCATGATCTGACATGCGCCGACCACTGTGCAGTCCAGTCCTGGCCCCTCGTTCTCTGGTTCATGACTCAACTCCATCTAAACGATCGCTGCGCGTTTGATGCTTGTAGTATGAGAAGAATGCAGGCAAGGCGCCACCCAAAGTGCCCCAAAGACGGACGCCGCCTCAGCCGACCCAATTTGGCTTTGATGACGCCAACGTTAGTGCCGCCATCCACGCCCCCACACACTCTGACATGGATGCTCGCTAACGTTGTGGCCTTTCTTGCACCCCCACCCTCATTGCCTTTCAGATGTATGAAGAACCTGTGGTGAAGGGTGCGCGGCCCAACGAAACCTATGCCCATTACGCCGACGTAGAAGTGAGTGGTGGCACCTGTCATAACCACTCGCACCCAAATCTGCTTATGGCTCACGTGGGCGGACCTGCTCCTGGCAGCCTCCGCGAGCCCACGACTTTTCGTCGTACGATGGCGTGGTGTCGCCCGAGCGCATTCCGCCACCGCAAGTCTTGGACCGAGTCCGTGCAGAACAAGTGCTGCGAGGGGCAGGTATGCGACATGGGTTGGACTCGTTCATCCGACCAGTCATCCTAGAATTCCTCATGTCATGCATGATCACCGCGCCTCCTACTAGGCTTACCCAAGGGAGGATACATTTTCCGCCGCAGCAAATCACATCCAAATGCCTTTGTCCTCGTCGTGACGGATGGGTCCCAGATTTACAACTACCCTGTCGATTGGTGCACTGGCGCCTTGGAGGGCAAGATGACCGTGCTGTGCCCGGGCAATCGCGAGGTGTTTCGCAGTTTGTCGCACATTGTCGACCATTACAGCAAGCAACGAGACGGTATTGCCTGTCGCTTAATTCGTCAGTACACCATGTAAACGGTGATACTTGAGTGTATCCCTATCCCTATTCGTGCCATGGTAGAGAAGGCGGCGTGCAGCCATGCTGGACAGCTGTTCGGACTGTCTTTTTTTTTTATGTACAATTAATTTCCCCCCGTGCCTTTGCATGAATCACGAGTCTTTCTTGGTGCTCTGGGCCCGGCCTGCTGCGGTGCGCACCAGGTGTGCGGCCACCAAGAACACGGCAGCTGCTGCGAGTGAGAGCCAACGCGCCGCAAGCCACTCGGTCCAGCTCGGCGCTAATGCCTTGTGGCGCAGAGTGGTCTGATGACGCCAAGGCATGCGTGAGCCGCACCAGGAGACTTGGCTGGAGAAGAAAGGAACGCGGAATCGGCGACCAAGCCGCTGACATACCTCTTTGCGAGCATAAAGAAAGGTGGCACCGAGCACATGACGGCGCACCGCCACGCGAGTTGATCCAGCTTCCAAACCATCCAAGGGCACGGCCGCTCGACACATAGAGCTTCCCCAGTCAACCTGAGGAGAGTGACCGGTGCCACAACCCGCAGAGAAACTTGAGCTGGCCCAGATATGATACACCCAGCAACTTTTCAAGGGCTCGTTGGCCCCGGAATGAAAATGAACAAGGTGCAAGAGCCAACATACCATGCTCAACGTGTCCACTGGCACAGAATAGCCCTGTAACACTGTCACTTCCATGGTGGCACACACGTTATCCAGCTCGTGCCGAGACAAGAATGCATCGATCACCTGATGAGATGGAAGAGCACGGGCGTGTGGAGGAGAGGGATGTTCAAGCAGCAGCGCGCGATGAGCAAAAAAAAGACTGTTTTGAATGCCACCGAGAACGAGCAAAAGACAGACCAGGTGAGTACGGTTGGTGTTGAGTTTGATGGAGTACAGTTGCATGCGGGCGCGATCGCCCAAGGTCCACGCCAATAGCTGAGCCAAGGCCTGGGGCAAGGCAGGGGCAGATGAGGGGAGAAAGCACATCTTTTGATGTGAGGCCTTCATGCGTGAAGCAGGATAGGAGAGCGCCATGGGCTACGGACCGGTTCGTTTTGGGTAAGCAGGTCCGCATCCTGCAAAGAGTGGTCGCTTCCCAGCAAAGAGACTCGCGCGCCATTGCGTCCTTGCATAGAGCCCACCAAGACTGGTCGCACAGCATTCTGTGATTGATAAACAGTCCGAGCAAACCCAGACCCGAGCCTGATGAGGATGCTCAACGGTGCGCGAGGTGTGGCCCGCAAGGCAAAGATGGACGCGTGTCAAACCTGGGTGGCTTGAGGGACGGACTGGCTGGGGTTGCGGTGGGAGCCATCTTCATTCTCAATCACCGCGGAGTAGGCAGTGGGAGGGGCCACAAACACGGGCGCAACCAGCTCGTTGGGCGTGTGTGGGATCAATCTGCGCAATCGAAACAAGAAAAGGAATCGTGATCAGCGCTTGCCGTTGACCATGACCTAGACCAGGGTCGATTCGCCCGGCCTTGTTAGCCAAACTCCAAGCCCAGCAATTCTTCGCTCGCGATTTGAACACGTACGCGCGGCCTTTGTAAGTCAACGAGTGGCTGGCGTCGACGATGAGATGGTTTGAACTGCCAACGGTCACGCGTGCACCTTGGATGGCCGTGTCGTGGAGCAGAGTGGCTTTGTTATCAAGCTCGTATCCAAACGCGGTGGCAAGGTTTTGAGCAATGGCATGGCCAGCTGCCCGAGGAGGATCGGCGGCAAAGGCCACTACCATGTTCAGGCCCGCATCAAAGGCTGCTTCCAGCAGAGACACGTGGTCGTACTCGGAATCTAAGAACATTCGAGCCAGTCGGAGGAGAGTGTGAGGGTAAGGAACAGAGTAATCAGAACTTGAAGCGCGGTGCTTAGTTTGAGGTGTCGTCTGGGAGTGGTAGTTGGAGCGAAGAGCGGCATTTGCCGCGTGCACTGACCGAAGACATTGCCCAGAAGCACGAGGCCCGATGCCTCCTGAGGTGCCTTCTGGGTGGTTGACAAGGATTCAAAGAGATCTTGAGGTGTGGCCGCACGCCATCTCACCAAAGAGTCGAGCTCTATGGCGAAGACACCAGCGGGGGTTGACGTACACAATACAGGCATGAGAGACGACCAAGCCATGAAGGTCCAGGCGCAAGCTGGCCAAACCTAGCTTAGCCAGCCGCCGTGCAGCCGTGTGGGAGGCATTGAGGTCATCAGTGACAAGCAAAAGGGTCTTGACTTCGTTGTAGTCGTCACCCTCCGGCTCATCCGTCAGGTCCAGGTTCAGTTGGCCCGAGGCGGCGGCAGCTACCGGCAGCGCCAGTGCCAACACCAACAACCACCCAGCAGCATTCATCCTGTCTGAACCAGTGCACAAAGATTTCTACCCCTACGCAACAGCGATAGAACTCCGTCACCCTGCGTTCCCTGCAACCTCAACCCTTGCTTGTATACACCCCGCCTCACCCCCTTGAACGATCGAGGGTGTGTGCAAACGTCCGGCTGCCGTCGCCGCGAAGAATTAAAAAAAAAAAAAAAATGAAAAAAACGTGAAAAAGAAGTCGAAAAGAACATTCCGCAAATGGCATCAAAATGCTGACAAATTCCGGTGGCGACGGCGTTGTACGAGAGCCTAACAAAACAACACACAACACACAACTGCATCGGGGCGGGCTGTGCACCGGGGCTGTGTAGATCGGAGTTGCTGTGTGGTTGGTGGGAGCGCTCTGGGCGACTCGATGCGTAGTGCAGTCAGGTGGTCAAGGAGTCCGATTAGAACGTTGGGTTGTTTACGATCATTAAGAGGGCATGCAACAACAGTCACGTCTTGGATCTTTGGGTACCTTTGCGACGACAACAGAAACACGGATGTATGCCATCCACACCTGGCACACACACACACACACACACACACACACACACACACACACACACACACACACACACACGACACGGACACGGATACGAGGTTTCCTCGCCGACAAGTTAATCCCAGTCGCTGTCATCGTCGTCCTCGTCCTCGGAATCGCTGCCGTGCGTTGCTTTCTTGCGGTTGGCCATGGCCATGGCCAGGGCGCCGGCGAGACCGCCACCACCGCTGACAGCGGCGGCGGATGAACCACCACCTGTGCCGCCTGCCAATGGCGAGATGTTCTTTTCATCCTCGGTTACCTATCAGCCAATATATAACAAGCGTCAGTGGAAGCCGGCTTACTTCGATACAGCTTGAACTGCAAACATGAGCGAGAAAAGGCTCGTTGGCCGTACCTTGCGCAGCGCCTTGCCGCCGCGGATAGCAGCCAGCAGATCCCCACGTGAGTCGCCACTGTCGTCGTTCGAGGCCGGGTGGCTCTCGTTGGGATCGACCTTGCGTAGGGAGGTACCTCCCTGGATTTGTGACAGAAGACCACCACGGCCCGCCGAGGCAGGTGGGGCACCACCCGCGAATGGATTGCCTGCACCAGGCGGAGGAGGCGGCGGCGCGCCGCCGCCCATGGGTGGAGGTGGCGGGGGTGGCCCAGCATTCATGGGAGGAGGTGGCGGGGGTGGGCCACCGCTTCCTCCACCCATTGGCGGCGGGGGCGGGGGAGGACCACCACCTCCCATCGGTGGAGGGGGAGGAGGAGGACCGCCACCTCCCATCGGTGGAGGGGGAGGAGGACCGGCGTTCATGGGTGGCGGCGGAGGAGGTGCTCCCATGGCAGGCTTGCGATTGGTGGGCGGCGGTGGGGGAGGTGCACTGCCCGAGGGGGCCGGTGGGGGTCCCCGCATCGGGGCAGGTGGCGGTGGGCCAGCTCTGTCAGGTCAAGGCGAAAGAATCGAGGAGTGACTGGTTAGGAAAAGAACAGACTGCTTAACAAATTGCATATTGAACAACAGGCCCTACCGGCCAGGCGGAGGTGGGGGTGGTGGACCGTTGCGCGCTGGTGCTGGTGGGGGTGCCCAAGCGGCCTGGTGCCAGCAAAAGGGGAGACGGTGAAAAGGGGGTCAGCGCAGAGCACACACACACACACACACACACACACACACACACACACACACACACACACACACACACACACACACACACACACACACACACACACACACACACACACACACACACACACACACACACACACACACACACACACACACACACACACACACACACACACAAGATCGGAATTTGTCAACAACAGCCTTTACACGTATTGCCGACTCGGCAACATGCATGAAAGATATCCCCCACGTACTTCTTCAGCAGACTCGATACCGCCATTCTTGTTAACAAAGTCCTCGATGAAGCGGCGGGTATCCTCGTCTTCGAGATCCTTCTTGTCAATGCCGGCTTCGTTGAGCAGGGATTCCCAGCGAGGGGGAATGTTGTTGACGTCAAATTCACCGTCTTGATCCAAGCCAATGTGGCTGACATGCTGTTTTCATACAAGGTGACAATCGACCAGCGGGGATGAGTTTGGCTCGGTGAAGCGATGAACGACACGCTGACTCTAACTCCGTCCGGACATACGCGAAAGTCAGAGGGACCAGAGATCATTGACTTGTCAAGGCGAGCCGATTGCTTGGTATCTTTGCCGCCTTTTTTCTTGTCCTTTTTGGTCTTTTTGGAGCTGGTGTTGACGGAGGAGGAAGGGCTGCTGCTGCTGCTGTTGCGTGAGCCAACCGTATGCATGCTGCTGGCGGTAAATGTGGTGGCGGGGCCCACGGTGGCAGGCGCGGGGCGCGGTGGAGCGGGAGAGCTGATGCTAGGGGGTGGTGGAGGACGACTGGCAGGCGTGCGGGGCTTGATGTTGGTGGCACCACCATTCTGAATGCGTTCGCACTTGTTGAGGTATTGCCGGACTCGGCGACTCATCTCCTTGCTGTCCTCCAGGCTGAGGAAATTGAAACCGGCCGTGCCATACTAGGAGGGAGGGAGAGAGAAGACAACCTTGAGGACTGAGACTACGGCTGCATTTGCGCTGCGGCCCAGGCTTTGTGTGGACACCCCGTGCACGGTGACCGGATCGGGGCGCGCTCACCTGCTCGGAGGAGAAGCAGTGGAGAGTGTTGTAAGGGCCGTGCAGCTTGGTGTAGGCCATGCCATGGAAAACCTGCTGGCCCAAAAGCTCACGATCATTGTCCACGTCAAAGAAGCGCAGGCTGTAATTGCGCGTGCTCCGCTCCTGAATCCACAGGGCAACACCTAAAGGGCCCAAAAGACGGTGTGAGTGACGCCAGGCGCTGATCACACAAAACGGCGCTATAAAACGAGAAAGCACGAGCGAGCCCGCACCAACGCCTTGAAACTCCCAGCCCGAGTTGCGGCCAACGTAGAGCTCGGTGACGCAGGCGCACTTGATCTGCAGTCACCACAGCACATGAGACTTTGTGTCCATCACATGCACGGGAGCGACGATGATGAATGGGAGCTGAAGAATTGATCTAACCTTGTTTTCTTGAATCACATCATACTCTTCCTGGGTGACCAGATTGGTCATAAAGGGCGGCTTGGCCGCCTTCTTGTTGTTGGCCATGACGCTGGAGCTGTGGATGATCCCGCGTCTCTGTGCCCAAAACAGCGCCGCCATTGAGCGATACGCGTTCCTCATGAGCTGAAACGAAAACAAGCACGGATAAAACCCCCTCCCCCGTCCCCCACGCCAACAGGAGTAGCAACAACCAGTCCCACCCGCCCCCTCAACCACACGCCCATCCCTCCCCGCTGTTGCATGATCAGACCCCACCCGCACCCCTGACTGCCCTTTCAGCCCCAGTACCGCTTCTTACCCGTCCTTACCACTAGAAAACGCCAATGATCTGGACAAGCTCTCTCTCTCTCTCTCAAGCTCTCTCTCTCTCTCTCTCTCTCAAGCTCTCTCTCTCAAGCTCTCTCTCAAAAGCTCTCTCTCTCTCTTCTCTCTCTCTTTCCAAAGTTGGTGCTCGCTACCATCTGAAGTTTGTCGTCACAATTAGATTCCATCTGACAAAGGTTCGAGATTCTGTCTGACATTTATAGGCTGACAACATCTACAGCGCTGCGAAAAGAGAGAGAGAGAGAGAGAGAGAGAGAGAGAGAGAGAGCGGCGTCGGCGGGCATCGGCCGTCTGCGCGGATCTTAAGGGTGTGGGGCGGGGATGAGTGTGGAAGTCCTTGGGTGGGGTGAGCTGGTTTGGTGAAGAAGGATCAGAGTGTACATCATCATCATCATCATCATCATCATCATCATCGTCATGGGTCGATCTCGTGAGGCCCTGGCGTTGGGTCAATTTATCCATCCGTGGAGCCCAGACTCTTGTGCAAAAGCCGTCCTGATCCTGGCCTACAAGACGGCGCGCGCCTCGCTGCCTCTCTACGCCAGTGTTCATGCCCTGGGGTACGCATTCGCCTCGTGTCTTTTTGTGCGCCTGTCTTCCTGTCTTTTTGCCTCTCCCGTCTTTGTCGATGATGGGAGGTGTTCTACCCGGGTTTGCGGCCTTCAGCCTCATTCTAGTCTCGCTGGCGCAGCCTGCTGGCTTTGCTCAAGGCAAGGCACCGAGCTGCGGCGCTGGCGGCTCTGCGGAAATGGGCCATTGGTACCGGCCGATCGACAGCCTTTCTCTCCGCCCTAGCCTCTAGTATCGTTGCAGCCATATGTCTCTTGCGCCAAGTGCGCGGTGCGCCCACAGTCATGGCGACGGGCGCCTTGCCAGCGGCACTTGCATCCCTGACGCTGCTGATCGAAACCGCCGCGCGACGACGAGATCTCACTGTTTATGTCTGTACCCAGGCCGTGCGCATTGTCTTGGCCAAGCTTCATGCCCAGGGCACCCTGCCAACGCTTCCCCACGCCAATCTGGTGGCTCTTTCCACGGCGCTGGGCTTGCTGCACCAACAACGGGCTCACGGCACATCACGTGGCCTCACACACTCTCTTCTCGCCGTTCTCAATCCCGAGCCGGGACAGGAATGGTGGCAGCGTGTACCACGCCTCAGCCATGCTATCCAGCAAGTGCGCCCTGCTCTGCTTCGTTACCTGCTGCGGCCCCTTCACGTGCGGCCCGCCCTGGAGCAACAATTGGCGCACGTCCTCGAGACCTCGGCGATGGGCGCACTCACGGGCGTGGCCCTCAAGCTCGGACTGAAACTCGTGCAACACTTGCATCAGAGCAGCCCTCGGGCCGGCCAAGCCGCTGGACGATCCCTTCCTCTCATCCGTGTGCTGGCGCTTTACCCTGCGCTTTTCAAAGCCACCGAGCTCCTGCTCGGTCATTTTCGCGGTCATCACAGTGATGCCTCATCACGAGCTGCACTAGCCGGCGGTGTCGCGACGCTGGCCCTGCACAAGACGGTGTATGTCCAATTTGCTTGTCAATCATTTTATCGAGGGTCTGCTCCGTGCCCCTTTACGGCTAAATGTTACGCTTACGGCCACGTAGGAGCCCGGCTTTGAGCGCCTACTTTCTGGGCAAGGCTCTAGACGGTCGCTTTGATTGTGCCCGTACGGACACGGGCCAGGACGTGGCTCTCTTTGCTTCAGCCGGTATGATCCGTGCCTCCCGCTCAACCTTTCCCCGTGATGACAGTGGCGCGCTTTTGAATCGGCTGGTGTGCGTCTGAATATCCCTCGACCTCTGCAGCGGCCGTGATTGTCCATTTTGCAATTTTTGAGCCACAGCGCTTGCCGGCAAGCTACAACATGTTTCTCAACAAGGTCACGGGTGGTGAGTCGGCACCGTCCTCAAAAGAAGTCACTGAATGATGCCCACTCACCAGCGGTTTTTTGGTACTTGTATGGGAACCGCAGGCCTCTTTGGACAGATCAATCCACAGCGCATCCCCTCCAGTGACCTCCCCTGGCTTTAAACCTCAACAGCAGCTGCAGCCCCAGACTTGGGAGTAGCACATGGACAACTGACTGCAAGCCAGGGTGCTCTAAGACTGTCAAGCTTGAATTACATCTAAACCTCGAATTCGTCCTCTTTTTTTTAATACTCGTTCTGTTTCACAGCCCACACACCGCACGCTCCACAAACACACACTCAAGCTCCCTCACCTCACCGCCACACACACATACGCAGACAGAGGGAGGTAGGTCCCTCCCTCTGTCTGTGTGTCTGTGTGTCTGTGTCTGTGTGTCTGTGTGTGAACCAAAATTTCGTTGTTTGCTGACTTTTTTTGTTATTTTGGGACACAAACACACACACACACACACACACACACACACACACACACACTTCATCAAGGAGACTCAGAGAGGGCGGCGGGGTGCATGATGGCAGAGGTCAAGGCGGGTCCGAGCCGGGCTGGGGCTGGGCAGCAGGATGCGATAAAGAGCGTGGGGGCGAAGAAGCGAAAGGCGAGAAAGCCACGTTTGGCACTGCAGCAACGGACGCCGGCAGCCGAAGCTCAGGTTGGTGCTCCCACCGCCTTCCCAACCGGGGCTTTGAGGAGGTGGGGTGCTTGAGCAAACAACTCCTGATGGATGACTCGGCCCGTTGGCTGGCTGCGCAGCTGCTTTCCGAACGATTTCTGTCCTTTGTTGATCATGGCAGCTACAACGCCATTGCCGTGTCGAGCGCCGCTGCAGACGGCCACAGCCTGGATTCCAATGCCGGAACGCCGACCACCACGGTATGCGCACCCACCCTCGATAGGCGCGCGCATCCATCGTACGCGGCTGGATTCATGTTGACGGAATGTCCGGGTCTACCAGGTGTTTCTTCGCATTCGCCCCAAAGTGCGCCAGGCCGCGGTTCAAGACACGGGCGAGGACGACCCGGACATTATTCAAGGTACGATGGCTCCCAACCCGCGCCGTTCAGCGAACCGGCCGTGTTGCTAATCAGCTACCGTGTTCTGCCTCGATCACCCCTTGGTCTCTTTGTCTGGATATGCACAGCTGTCGAGAACACGGTGATCTTTGACGATGTCAAGTGCCCTGACAAGGAAGAGCGCTTCAAGTAGGCATTGCTGCCCCTAATCATGCTGAAGCCCCATGCAGCACGTCTGCTGGTCTCTGCTGTCATTCCCCGCCCCTTGGCTCGCGGTCGCACTCTTTTGACTCACACCGGACACCGGCACTTGCTGCATCCCCAGGCCTTACACGTTTGACCGTGTCTTCCAACCTGGCTTGGCTCAAGCTGACGTCTTTGACCAGGCATTGCAGCCATACCTGCGACATTTCGTCGCTGGCTTTAACGTTTGTCTATTTTGCTACGGTCAAACGGGCTCTGGCAAAACCCACACGATGTAAGCGCTGTTCAAGCCTACCTCGGTTTCTTTGCAGCCGGTTTCCGCCATGTTCCGGCCGTCATGTACTTTGGACCCTGACCCATTGTCCCTTCCAACATAGGTTTGGCCAGGGGCGCCATGCTAAACAGCTCGGACTCATTCCCCGAGCCTTTGCGGCCCTCTTCAACGCCCCGCCGCAGGACGGCGTTTCCTATCACATCAGGTAAACGCCGAGCGTACTGCTTCTGACATCCATGTAACAGGCCCGTCTCATGAATCGCTGATACCTCAGTGCCTTGGAGCTTTATAACGAACACCTGAGCGACCTCCTGGCGCCCCCGGATGAAGACGGTCGGAAACCCCAGTTGGCGCTGCGTGAGCATCCACGCAAGGTGCGTTGCTAGGAGGGTGTCACTCTCGCAAGCGCAGGCCGGATCTGATGGGATGCCATCAACTGCCCTCCGTGACTACAACCCGACTTGACAATTTTACTTGTTCTTCTTCTACATACTCGCAGGGTAATTTTGTACATGGTCTATCGCACGTTGCCATTTCTTCTGCTGCCGACTGCGTTGCCCCCCTGGTGAGCGATAGGTATCCGCCTGAAGAGAAGAGCATTCCTTGCTTGCTCATGCCTTGTGTTGCACAGGATCGGCTGTTACGGGAACGCGTTTCCGGGGAGACGGCCATGAACGCCCGAAGCTCGCGCTCCCACGTGGTTGTAACTGTGACCCTTGATGCGGTTGGTCCCTTTCACGCTTGGGCAAAGCCTGCCCAGTCTTGCCACCCGTGTGCGCTGTCCTGGACTGCCCTCGATCTTAACTTGTTCATTGTCTCAACATTTGGCTGATCACTTCTTCTGCTGTTTAAATTCGCTTTCTGATCCTTGCACAGCGGCTAGCAGGCGAAAACTATGCTTGCAAACTGCAGTTGATAGATTTGGCCGGGTCAGAGCGGGTGAAAAAGTCTAATAGTCAAGGCGCTCAAGTCCGCGAAGGTATGCCTGTGGAATTCCACGTGCTGCTCACCCTAGTCGCCTCATGAACGCGATGCGCCATGCAATGGGCACACCGGACTTGTTAGGCGCGGCCATCAACTTGTCCCTCTCCGCGCTGGGAAACGTGATTGATGCTCTGATCCACGAGCGGCCGCATGTGCCTTTTCGCTCCAGCAAGCTGACACGGCTCTTGCAAAACAGCCTGACGGGGCATAGCAAGACGGTCATGATCGCCACCGTCACGCCGCAGCGTGAATCCGCTGAAGAGACGCTGAGCACGCTTCGCTTTGCCGACCGCGTGAAGAGTGTAAAGAACGAAGCCAAGCGTCGACTTCTCTCGGCAGACCAAGAGCAACACCAACACTCGGCGCGCCGGGCGCTCCAGCAAGCCAATGCTAAAATCTTGAAGGAGAAGCAAGCCTTGGAAATTCGGGTATGCACGTGTGGCTCACGCTTCTGACATCCGAAGCTCTTTGCCTGGTTGTCTCACCTGCCCTCACACATTCCCTGGTTTTGGTTTTGGTTTTTCCCCTTAGGTACGTGAGCTTGAAGGGGCCTTGGAGGAACTACAGTCACGGCTGGAGCAAGTGTATCACCAAGCAGGCCCAGCGACCTCGACTCCGCAAGCAGAGGAGACGAGGATTTTGAGCCACGCAACGATGGACCTGCCTTCACCTGCAGACGAGTGCTTGCCCATTGCTGGTCTCAGTGCGCGGCCTCAGCGCGCGAGCGGGGTGAGCCAAATTAGCCACCTCAGTTACGTAGCCGAGGCGGTAGACAGCGCCATGCCGGTGGCCAATCCACAGGACGATACCATGCCTGACTGGGAGGAGACGACGCAGTGGGCTGCGTCTGAGCCGCCCAGCAAAGGAAGTCGAGCCTGTGCCTTGATGTGAGCAATTCTGATCGTACCCATTCCGCTTGGACGTGTTAGCCGACCCATAACTGTTTTCCGCTCAAATCTATTGGAAGCTTTTCTTTTAATTGACCTCTTCCTTCGTTTCGATGATACTACATGTACATGTATAGTGTCGCAGCTCGTTCAAGAGAGAGAAGAGAGTAGAAATAATTTTCAGCGTTTTGATTGTTTTTTGTCAAGCAGTATTGATACCTGCTGTGACTTTGTAAAAAAAAGGTAGTCGGGCGGGCAAGCGCAACAATGCAAAAGGAGAACAATGGTGCAACACGACACAACACAAAGGCTACGCCAGCCCAACGCCATACCCATGGCCCAGAGACACAAAAAGAGCCGGCGGACAGCATAACGGTTGACAAGTATGGGGGTCCGCCCAAACCCCAACAGCGACAAGCAAGCGTTGACCAGACCAGCCGACGCATGACATAAAAACACTAGAGTAGGACTGGACAAACACGAGGCTGAAGAAAATATTCATCGAGGCATCGCAATGCGAGTCGAAGGCACGATACGAGGGGGGAAAACATGAATCGAGGGGGGAAGAGTCACAAGTTGGACGCCTCAAACCGAGGACAAAACAACAAAGAAACATCGGAGAGGAACAAACGAGGCATGCAACTCAACCCTGTGGCATCAGGATCGCTCAGAGGAAAAAGATGAGACGCTTGATCTATTCATCGAAGGTCATCTTGGAGCCCTGGAACTCCTGGACGTTGCCACGGCGAGCAGTCTGGGCTGAGTTGGGGCGGCTGCCGCCACGACCACCGCGGCCACCACGGAAGCTACCACCACGGCCACCACCGCGACCACCACGGAAGCCACCACGACCGCCCTCAGGGCGAGGCGCACGGGGAGTGGCAAAGTCAAGGAAGACCTCGCGACCGGCAATGGAAACACCCTGGTTGGTGTTCAAGGCAGTCTTGGCAGAGTCAACGTCTTCAAACTCGACGTAGCCAAAGCCCTTGGAGTTGCCAGTCTCACGGTCCGTGACAATGCGAACGCTCTTGGCGTCACCGAAAATCTCCCAAACGCTGTTCTCATCAGCACGGAAGCTGAGGTTCTTGACGAAAAGGGTGCTAGATTCGGCGGAGAGCTGGCCAGGAGCACCACCCATGGAGGGACGGGGGGTCTTCTTGTCGGCCTTGTCAAACTTGAGGGTGCGGCCATCCAGAACGGCGTCGGTGACCTGCAGGAACTGCTCGCGGGCGGCCGAGGAGAGATCGGCGTAGCCAAAGCCACGGGACTTGCCGTCATCGCGGTACATGATGCGCACGCTGTTGACGGAGCCGCAGCCAAGCTCGTTGAGGAAGTTGACGACATCATCCTCAGACACGTTCCAGGAGATACCACCAATGAACATGCTGACGGCCTCGCCATCGTCCTCGGTAGCGGCCTTGGCGCGCTTCGAGTCGTTCTCGCCATCACCGGAAGAGCCACGCTTGGCGTCGTCCTCCTTCTCCTCTTCCTCATCATCATCGTCGTCGTCGCTGCTGCTAGAGTCGCTGCTGGACGAATCGTCGCTAGACTCCTTCTTGGCCTCGGCCTTGGTCTCCTTCTTCTCCTCCTCGTCCTCATCATCGCTGCTGTCGCTGCTGCTGGATGAGTCGTCGCTAGACTCCTCCTTGGCCGCAGGCTTGGCCTCCTCCTTCTCTTCCTCCTCGTCGCTGCTGGACTCTTCGTCGCTGGAAGATGACTCCTCCTTCTTTGTCTCCTTGGCGGGCTTGGCCTCCTCCTCGGAGTCACTGTCGTCGCTGCTGCTGTCGCTGCTGCTATCATCAGACTCCTCCATGGCGGCCTTCTTCTTGGCCTCCTCCTCAGCCTTCTTCTTGGCCTCCTCCTCGGCCTTCTTCTTGGCCTTCTCGGCCTTCTTCAGGTCCTTGGCCGAAGGCGAGGCAACGGCGGCGGCCAGCTTCTCCTCCTCGGCGAGCTTGGCCTTGGCCTTGAGCTCCTTCTTTGACTCCTTCTTCGACTCCTTCTTCATCGTCTTGTCCTTCTTCGAGGCCTTGACCTCCTTCTTAGTCGAGCTCTTGCCCATCTACCGATGCCACAAAGCCACAACAAAACAAAAGAGCAGCAAAAAAAAAGTCAGATTTGGTTCCACGTGTGTGACAAGCAAAAAACGTCAAGGCGTTGGTGATGCAAACGCCACCAAGCTTGACGCAACAACCAAATAGAAAAGAGGCAAAACGGCAGCGAGAGCGGGGCTAACGAACGTGCTGTTGCCAAATGCAATGCCAATACCATTCGATGAATGGTAATGGCCAGAGCATTTGGAACAACAACCCCTCGGGTCATGGACTGCCATCACACATGCTTTCCTCAAAAGAAAGAGAAAAAAGCTTGATACACGTGGTGGTGGTGGTACCAGGAAAGACCCTGGCAAGGCAGCCCCGCGCCCTCTTTCGTTCGCACATTGCCCTGACAATAACTCAACCACACACACAAGGCGCTGCCATCGTCGTTCGTACCTTGACTGGTCTGTGTAGATGCGAAGGGGGGGGGGGGAAGATGGAGAGAGATCGACGACAAAAGACGTACGATCAGTCGCAGTGGAAAATACCACACACACTCGCCACAAGCGCGCGTGTTCAGTCCCTTACGCACAACACACAGAGAAAAGAGAGAGAAGAGAGAAAGAGAGAGCGATAAGAGAGAGAGAGAGCTTTGTTTTTATCTCTCTCTTGCTTTGCTTTGCTTTGCTTTGCTTTGCTTTGCTTTGCTTTGCTTTGTCTCTCTCCGCGTGGGTCTCTCTTTATTCTCTGTTGCCTCTCTCCTCTCTCTCTCTCTCTCTTTCTCTCTGTCGCGTGGTTGACCACGAGTTGATGGAACATCAACATGGACAGGAATGCAGCTGGGACCTGCTGCCGTTTGGCAATCGGAGCGGGCTACTCCGTGCGGTAGCCAACTGTGAGTCAAGTTCGAAGAGAACCAAGCAGTTGTTGCCGTTTTCAAACTGGGTGTTTTTATCGGCTCTATGATCTCATCGGCGCTGCCCTTCCCAGCTTCACACACACACACACACAACACACACGTGCTCTCTCTCTCTCTCTCTCTCTCTCTCTCTCTCTCTCTCTCTCTCTCTCTCTCTCTCTCTCTACCATAACAAGGGAACCACATGTGTGCAGGTCGCGTCGAACAACGTTGGTGCGCATGTTTAAGCTGACAGATACGGGGTTATTGCATATCCATTGCTGGGACTTGTGTACGTTGAGGTAGAACATGCCGAGGTTATTGCATCGCGTGCCCTGTTGTGACAATGGCTGTTGTGAAGCCCTTACACACGTGTGGAAACAAAAGGACGCGGGGCGACGGTGAAATGTCAGCAACGCGTGGTGGTGGCGGATGCGTCTCGCCAGCCAGGGGGGTCAGTTTGTATCACAACCGTACGAAACTCACCTCTTATCCGCAAAGTAAATTACTTCACATGCACCCAAATGGAGCCGAAAAGCGCGCAGATGTCAGATGTCAGATGTCAGATATTTCATATTGTCAGATATTTTGTGACGGCATGGCCGACCTGGAAGATCTGGCGGTGACGGCGGCGTCCGTGTCGGCGGCGGCTCGACGGGCCAAGGCTCGGCCCGGGTTTGTGGTGCCGCGGCATGATCGTTCGCGCCGGGAGCAGGCAGAGGGGGATAGTTTTATTCCTGGGTCAAAGACCATTTTTCTGAGAACCTGGGGCTGCAGCCACAACAACTCGGATGGTGAATACATGGCCGGTTTGCTGAGCGCTGCCGGCTACACCATCTCCGACAAGCGCGAGGGTGCCGACCTCTGGATCCTCAACTCGTGCACCGTCAAGACCCCATCCGAAGATACTTTCAACAATGAGATTCGGGATGCCCGCAGTCGCAACATTCCCGTCGTCCTCGCCGGCTGCGTGCCGCAGGTTGGTGACTCGATGTCCACCCTTACCCAAGGCTCATGTTTCGACACACTGCCAACACCGGCCCACGCGCTTTGTCTCACAACCTGCATTTGCCATTGCGACAGGCCTCTCCTCGCAGTGCGCACACCAAAAGCTGCAGCATCATCGGCGTTGGTGTCTGCCCCCGCTCCCCTCCCCTCGGCCTTCCCTCTCTTTGCCCCTTGCCGTTACGTCGTTTCGCCCTTGCGCTCACCAACGCCTTTTGTCGCCCCACACGCTCTCGCCCCACATCCCACAGACCATGCAAATCGATCGTGTCGTAGAAGTTGTTGAAGAAACCCTCCAAGGGCGTACCGTGCGCCTTCTTGGCTCCAAAAAGGTCGATGGGCGCAAAACAGGTGCGGAGCGCTTAGGTCAACCGCCAAGACAGACCAAAAACTCATGACAGTCTGCATTGTCCTGCAGGTGGGACGGCCTTGGATCTGCCCAAGATTCGCCGTAACCCGCTGATTGAAATCATCCCCATCAACACCGGATGCCTCAACAAGTGTACCTATTGCAAGACCAAGCATGCCCGGGGTGACCTTGGCAGCTACACCATCCAGGAGATTGTGCAGCGTGTGCAACAAGTCATTGCTGGTAAGTCCCTTTTCATCCACAGCCGCAGCCATTCTGCGTCAGCTTGGCGCGGGCCCTTCGACGTCGGGTTGTTTTTACTCATCGACCCCTACCCACCTTTCTCCGGACAGAGGGTGTGGTCGAGATTTGGCTCACCAGCGAAGACACGGGGGCTTACGGCCGTGATATCAACACCAGTATTCCCGAGCTGCTTCGAGCCATCCTAGCCGTAAGCGTCTTGCCGTGTGTCCTCTTGCTCGAGCCGCAAAGAACATGGTTTGACCGCTTCCAACTGAATATCTTGCTTGCCCTCTTGTACCCACCCCAATCATCCTTGGTATCTATTCAGGTGGTGCCAGCGGGTGTGATGGTTCGTCTGGGCATGACCAACCCGCCCTATATTGTCGAGCACGTTCAGGTACATTTTTGCTGCCGCCCTGGCTCACTCCACATGTGTCCCGAACTTTGTTTTCTTCTTTGCAAATGCTGCGACGCACAATCGCTTACCTCTCGCTGACTGCCAATTGGTCCCATAGGCCATCGCCGAGTGCCTGCGGCACCCGCGCATGTACAAGTTTATCCACATCCCCATCCAGTCGGGCGCCAACCCCATTTTGCACGCCATGCAGCGTGAATACACGCGCGAAGACTTTTGTTTTGTGGCCGACACGTTGCTAGAGCAGGTAGGGATCCTGCTTGCCCGTCCTCTTGCTGCCCCCACGCCTGGCCCGACTGATTCTGACGCCAACCGCGCCTGCGTGATGGCCCACTGCGCTGCCAGGTGCCTGCCCTGACCATTGCCACAGACATCATCTGTGGTTTTCCGGGTGAAACCGATGCTGACTTTGAGGATACATTTGAGATTGTGCGCCGCTACCATTTTCCCTCCCTCTTCACCAACCAGGTACAGCCAGGCCTTGCGCTCCCAACTCGTGTCAATAAACGCCATCGGCACTTGCCTACCCTCCCTTTAGCTTCCATTTCAAAGTGTTGAACAGCTGGCGATCCGTCACGCTCACACAGAGACCTCTGTCCTTGGGCACTCTCCGATCTGGACCTCAATAGTTCTTTCCTCGACCTGGCACGCCAGCTGCGGCCATGGAGCGCGTTGACCCGCGCTTGGTCAAGCAGCGCACCAAGGAGCTCTCGGACTACTTTCGAGGTTATCGAGTGTACGACGACCAGCTGGACTCGTACCAGCGTGTGCTGGTCACCGACACAGCCACGGACAATGTGCACTTTGTGGCCCACAACCGCAGCTTTGACCAAGTGCTCGTGCCGGCTAATCCAGATTTTATGGGCAAGCTCATTGTTGTCAAAATCACCAACGTCAACAAGTTTTTCATTGTACGTGCTCGCAGTCCTTCTTCCTGAGACGATGCTTGACCGGCAGAGCCAAGAGATGACCATTGTCCTCCGCCACCATGCGCGCTTGCCTTTTGACCTATTCTACATGCCCTGCGTTTGTTCTCATCTTTCTTTCGGTTCTTTTTTTTTTTTTTTTTTTTTTTTCTTTTTCAATGATGTTTGAAGATGGGTACACCTGTGGATGCTGCAGAGGTGAAGGAAGCCAAGTTGCACGCGACAAAATCAATCCCACGTCAGTCGAAATGCTAATATACCTGCTTGGTTTTACTACGCACTGCTGTGATCGTCGTGCTTACTATTCCTGTCCGTTGCTCTGTCCTGCTCTGCAGTGGAGGCGAATGTCGAAATGGCGCCCACCAGCGGCTGTGTGTCCGAGGCCAAGCCAAAGGCATCAGCAGGCCAACTGTCATGGCATTGGCAATTGGCATTGTTCCTGGTGGCTCTGGTTGCCTTTCTCCTGGCTCGATCTCGCGACGCTCAAGACTAGAGCGCCTCATGAGAGAGCGGGCGGGGCAATGGCGCTGGGCGTCAAGACGGCGGACAAATTTAGATATCTTTGGGGGTGGACGAAAGCGTCTCGATTTTTTTTTTATGAGGATTGATGTGTGCCTTGCTGCCGTGACGTCAAGTCACGCGTGTGGAACGCACGCAATCAGAAAAGCACAGACGCGTGCAATACAAAGACTGAAGCAAAGACACTTAAAAAGCCAAACATGAACAGAGCAAAACGGCTGGCGTGACAATACCCATACAAGCAGACATGCGCCTGTTGGCCTGCAGGGCGCCAGGATGTCACGCCCACAAGAAAGAGTGTTGCAGCGAAAGAATGTAGGAAACAGAACAAAACAAAGGTGGCGAGAGCACGACTTCCTTCTTCTTAAGAGAATGATCAACATGAGACGTGGCGGGCTTTGAAGGACAGCTCGACCAGCAGGGGAAATCTAGTTTTTCTTGTTGCGCAGAGTGAGCGCAGCCGCAATATCCTTTTGCATTTGCATGTGGGACTGGGCTTCCTTGAGGCTCTTGACGGAGCTGCAAAAGAGCAGGTAGGGCGCCGCAAGATGTCAGTTGGCGAGAGCGCAGTAGCCCAGGAGGTCAAGCGGCTCGAGGGCGGGGCGCCTGCATACCGCAGATCATTGACAATGTCCTTGGTCTTGCCAAAGTAAATTTGGTTCAGAACGCTGCGCATCTGGTTCTCCATATCCTCAATCATGCGACCAATGTTGGCAATGTGAGGGTTGTTGTCATCAACGGTGCAGTCCTGCTCGGCCTGGCGGGTCAGCGATCCACCGAGCTGCATCAGGCCAGAGCCGTCCTTGTTGGTCTGCAAATACATGGTGTTGATCAAGCACACACCAGACGTGAGCAGAACACATGCCCGATCGAATCCAAACACATGGCGACAGGAGGAGCACATGGCACTGGGCAGTCTGATGCGGGGCTGTAACCCCGTGTGAGTACACGAGAGAGCAAAAGAGAAAATCCATACCTCGAGCCAAAGCATGACGGTAGAGGTGAGCTGGTAGGTGGCGTTGCGGCCGTTGGACTTTTCGAGGACCTGGAACACATGTATGGAGTCCCAGCAGCCCTTGATCTTCTTGGAGCCATCACCAATCTTCTTGATGAGGACCACGCCGGCGAAGCCATCCTCTTCGGTATCCCAAAGGTACACGGAAGAGGCGCCACCCTCATAGTAGAGGTCGCGGTAAGAGTCAAAGGCGTTGTTGGCCTAACATGACATTGAGCAAGGGAGAAGATGTGCAAGTGAGTCAAACGAACAAGATGATGGGTGAAGGGGACTCGTCGGCCGTGGGGTCAACAGGGACAACAGGGTCGGCAGAACAATCAAAAGATCGTGATGGGGGTCGGGTGGGCTGACGGCGTGAAGTACCTGAATTTCGAGCTCGCGCAGCTCGGGGCTGGGAACAACGCCGTCATCCATGGCGGGATAGTACTGGTTGGACCAGGGGGAGCTGGATGGTGGGATGACGCCAAGCGTGGAGCAAGATGGTTGAGAATGATCGAGTAACACATGATAGAAGGACGAGTTGAAAGCCAGGTTCGATGAGCAGGGGGAAAAAAATGAAATAGAAACACTGACCGGTAGGAGTCACCATCGCGGTTGTAATCGCAGAGCAGGTAGTGACGGCCAGACTCGGGATCTGTGGCACGCTTCAGGGGCTGGTCAATGGAGGAAAGCAGATCCTCGCACAAAGAAGGCACCTACACGAGGAACATCGGGATATTTGGAGGAAAATCAAGGCAAAGCCGGTCAGCTGCCGAGACGCATCGGGCATGGAAAGCAAGCTCGGAGAAGGGTCGACGAGAGGACAGCAGATTCACAGAGCCCAGTCTTTGAGGCAAGTAGCTCAAAAGGAGGAGAACGAAAGCGCTGGAACAGACCAGATCAATGAGGCCAGTCAAGTTCTCCTCGATCTTTTGCGGGGGGAGACGGCGCATCAGATCGAGCGCGCAATCCAGCTGCTGGTCCGACTAACAAGCCACCGAGGATGGGTGTGAGCTGAGGAACCAAGTTGACTTGCTCTGACGCACACCAGGAAATGAACACTCTCGATCCTTGTCGAGACGCAGGGGTTAGGAGGGGTGCAAATCAAAGACGCACGTACCATCTTGAGTGGTCACGGAGAATACACGGAAGGAGCTCGTTGGGAGGTGAAACTTGAGCTTGAAGCCTAAGGACAAGAGCAAGAGGAGGAGCAAGTCGAGTGAGATGCCAAATCCCGCACGAACACACCAACTGCCATATTAATAACCGCCAACGCGTTTCCCAAGGCCAGGCAGCCATCAAGAGCGGTCAGTGGTGCGCAACGACCCAAGAGTGCGAGCTTGAATGCTGAGTCGACATGCGACATGGCAGTGACAGCACCACAACATCCAACCAACAACAAAACCATGAACAAGGCTGATGCCCCCTATCAGCAGGTCTTGATCCAAGCACATGTTTCAATGTGCCACTGCCATTTGAACCCTCTCAACTGCCACTGCCAGTTGGAAGCGCCATGGCGCTGCCACACACACACACTGAACGAACGTCTTCCTCTCTCTCTCTCTCTCTCTCTCTCTCTCTCTCTCTCTCTCTCTCTCTCTCTCTCTCTTACCTCAAAAACAAAAGAATGACAAGAACAGCAGCAGGAGGACACACTTCAGAGATGTGGTGTTGTGACCTGATGTTGCTGTAGGGGATATAAAGGGAAATTCAGAGACTGGACGGCAAGCAGGGCCGAGTGAGATTTGAGATGAAGCGATCTGGACCAAGGCCGCCGCCATCGCCCATGAAGCCCTGTGCAGGCGGAATTTCACTGAAGCATATCATGTAGACTGCCATTATGCGTGATCATCACCACCTCTCGCGCTGCCATTTATTTCCTCTCTTCTCTCTCTCTCTCTCTTTTCTTCTCTCTCTTTTCTCTCTCTCTCTCTCTGTCTCTGTCTCTGTTTGAGTTCCTTTTAATAATTTCGTATTATTCAAAGACCAAAACCCAACTATACAACGATACAAATACTCAAGTCCCTATTCCTGTTTTTTCAAGTTTAAACACCAATAAATAGCACACACACACACACACACACACACACACACACACACACACACACACACACACACAGACATCGACGTTCGCGCTGGATGCTGGAGAGGGATGGCAGCGCCGAGGCCGAGCCCGCTCGGTGTGCCGGGCTGGCGGCTGCTGGCGGTCATGGGGATGGCGTTGGGGGTTGTGATGCCTTTGGTTTGGATGCGACCTGATGTGTTGGTTATGGACCTGCACAAGATGCAGCACTCGCTGGTGGAGCTGACGAATCGAGTCGGTGAGCAAGCCACGGGGCTTCGGGGCCTGGGCTCGGGTCTCGAGGCCGCCTTGGGCTTGGGCAACCCCTTTTTTATCCCGCCCAAGGGTAGTCCGGTGTTTCGCACGCGAACGCCGGCCGAGTTGGATGCTTTGCTGGCGCGAGATGTCGAGGTTGCTCATCATCGCGATGATCAGCGTCAGACAGCCATGCACCACCTGCTCCACCTGTACCATCAGACGCTGCTGCAGGATGACCCTCCCCTGCACGCGTTCCACGCCACCGCGCGCCGCCTGCTGGCAGCCGAGCCGCGTTTGGCGCATGAAGGCTACCCCCTGTACTTGAGCCTGCATTATCGCCTTGGACCCATAACGCGGCTGCTGATGAGCCACATCACGCGGGATCAGTTGCGGGACTGCGTCCTGGAGTTTGACGCTTATGGCGAAACGGCGCTGCACACCATGGCCACCAACAAGGCCGCAGGCTTGACCCGCCTGTTTCACCGCCTCAACCAAACACGCAACTCGCAGGTAGCCCGCGCGACCGACGTTCAGCTGCCCGTGTGGGCGCCAGAGAGTGGGCCGGCCCCCGAGGGGCGCTGGGCCTTTGCCGACATGGCGCACTGGATTGGTGCGGCAGACCTTGCCTCCGTCCTGGACGAGGACGCCCTGCATATCGCTGATCTCAACGTCCCGACACGCCGCGGTGGCAACGCGCCCCTGCACCTGGCCGCCCGGACCGGGCTGGCTGCTGCGGCGCGTCTCCTCTTGGCCCATGGTGCCGAAGCCAACCCCCGCAATACAGCAGGATACACGCCGCTGATGCTTGCCGCCACTCATGGCCACCTGCCGGTCGTGGAAGCACTGTTGGCACACCGAGCCGACCCCACTCTCCATGATGCGCGTGCACGCACTACTTGTGACCTTGTTCAGCGCCAGCCTTTGCTGGACCCCCCGCTTCGCGCCAATCTCGGGACGCTACTCCAATGCCCATGGGTAGCCGATGCAGCCCCTGCACCCGCTGCCTGTCCGCGCCACCGTGCTTCCGAACTCGCCACTGAAGTGTTCCAGCTCGAATTTGTGGAACTGGGCATCCCCCTCGTGATTGAAGCCGATAACCTCTCCTGGCCGGCCCGCACGCTGTGGACCCCGGCCGCTTTGGCGGCCAGCGCTGATCCCAGCCTCGCCGTCTCCGTCGGCACCCGACCCTATGCCGCCCTGTACGGTGGGCGTCCCAGCCGCATGAGTCTGCGCGATTACGCGCGTCGTTTCTACGATGCGCCTGCCCCACCCGCGACGGCAGAGGATGCGCTCCCTTATGTGTTTGATGCACAAGTGCTGGCCCGCTCCCCCGATTTGCAGGCACAGCTACCGCCGCCCACCTGGTTGGTGGGTGAGCATTTGGTGCTACGCCAACTCATCATCGGCCCGACCAACACGGGTGCCGCCCCACACTTTCATGGCCACGCGCTCAATGCCCTTGCAACGGGGCACAAACGGTGGTGGCTTTATCCGCCTAGCGCGTCTTTTTTTCAGCTGGCCACAGCCGCCACCTTTTTCGCCAACGTGAGTCAAGCGGGGGTCCTCGACTGTGACCAAAAGGCGGGCGAGATGTTTTATGCGCCAGCGGGCGTGGGGCACGCCATTTTGAATCTTGCGCCAAGCGCTGCCGTCGCCTTTGAGTTTAATGCCAGCTGAGCTGGTCCCGGATTGTTTTTGAAAACATGTGTGTTGCTTTAACCGGCTTTCAAAGAAAGCCTGTCTGATGGTTCTGCTGTGCATGCGATGAAGCAACCGATCTGTTTGTTTTGTCTTGTATTTTGTTCTGCTCGGGGTGCTGGTTGCTCCGCCCTCAATGCCCAAAAGATCGTTGCCCTTGTCTGACGCCCAATTGCACTACAGCCCCCTTGACTCGAACCTCACAAAGCTCTGCCTCTGCTTTACCACATCCACCTTTCGTCCACATCAACCACCAGGCACGACCAAGACACACACACACACACACACACACACACACACACTTGGGGCTTTTTTCTTTCTTTCTTTCTTATTTTTTTTTCTTTCCCGAACAGTTGTCCGACGCTTACGGACAACTTTCTTTTTTTTTTCTCTCTCTCTCTCTCTCTCTCTCTCTCTCTCTCTCTCTCTCTCTCTCACTCTCTCTCTCTCTC